ATGCGGATGCACATCGGGCTCCGGATGAGATTTGCATGATATGCATTAACAGCAGCTGAAAGATATATGTATACCTACCTAGGTTCTGTATAGGTTCGCAGGCTTACTATTTCGCTGGTTTGCACCACCGGCTCTACCCGTATCCTGCGATGTCATTCCAAACGCCTTGCCATGCTTCGTTAAAGAACGTTGACTATGGGAAAAGAAGAAATTACTTGTCTCTATCCCTTTAACAATGGTCTCGAAGCTTGAAACCCATTCGGGCGAGTGACCCTCGGCGTTCGCATCGGTTCCGATTCTTACCCACATTAGCACATTGGCATATTTAGTTGGTGGACAGGGTCGCAATCCTTGGGGATCCCGGGCCAATAGGAAATCATATATTCTATTTCAGCTTTTATTTAGGAGCATCATAGCGAAGTTGGGCCCTCGACGACTATGAAAACAGTGCGACACTCTCTAGTAACACGAGGGAAATACACGAGGGAAATTTGGCTATTTCCCTCCATACCACGAGAGCACCAAATTGCTAAAATTGGAATACGTAACAAGTATTACCGTGTCATCCAGATCATGCACATACAAACCTCCGAGTTCGTGTCTTAGAAGATAAAGATGAGCGCATGCTGTATGTGGTTTAAAATACGGTACCTAAGCCTAGTAAAGCCTTGTCGACTTGATCAGCTTGTAAGGTGAGCCCCGAAAGTCGAAAGGGAGGAAAATCAAGGAATACGCTTCTTGTACTTCTCGTTTAAAATTCCCAAAATTAGGCAAGGCCTAGTCTAATCTCATCCATCACATCATCTTTCTGTTCTCCTGTGCCGTGTTTAGGGGGAGGGGGCAAAAACCTAGCTTAGGACGCAGAGCCAGTGGTTTACTTACCCCTCGAGACAAGAAAAATAAAAAAAAGCAAAAATTGGCAGTCTCCCAGAGTAGGTAGGTATCTGTCCCCTTGGTGTAACTGATGAAGCGCGTATATGCCTTACTGCGGTACAACGGGTTGCCGAAGTAGGCAATATTATAGGAGAGATACATCATTTAACATGAGGGTACCCCTGCGGTGCGCCACAATAGCCCGAGTTTTTGAAGGTAATATGGTGCTGTCGGGGAATGGCGCGCGCAGCGCGCCATTCCCCGGCAGCGGCACCTGGAAACCTCGAATATCGACCTTTATAAAAATAAAAATAAAAATAAAAAAAAAGGAAAAGGGAGAAAACGTGTGGGATTTGAACCTAGGCTTCTATAAAGATAGGTACGTATTTCGAGAAAAAGATGAAAGTGGGGACTTAGAAAAGCACGTGGCTAATTCCACTTATTTCGGGGATGCACCGAATCAAAACGCTTAAAAAACGCCGCACGGACGAACTTCCTCTTTCGAAAAAAGGTCCCCAAGACAATATCCCTCGTAAACTCGGGCACCTAGCCCTTAGACTTTAGACGTTGGATTCTGGATTGAGCATTGCGGGGTTTTCCTCAACCAAAGGCAACTAACAGGATGGCCAGGATGGCTGGTTCCCGCGCTCCAATGTATTTTCTATGTACGTAGATGGATAGGTATGTAAATATTATATGTACAATGCTGTATGCGTACCTAATGCTAAGCTTAATATCGCACACGGTACAGCAACTCAACTCTAACAACGGGGTGCAACTGTGCAACTGTGCAACATAGTCTGCTGAGGTCCAGGGAATGCCCCTGTAGAGACGGCATACGCAAGCATTTATTGATGTCCAAAATGATTGAACCTAGGAAATACCTTGATGATCAGTTGATAGGTACAGGCTCAATCGATGTAACTATCTAGAAGATGGATACTGTCTATTGTTTTTTTCAACCCCCCAATTTTACGAACCCCGACAAGTCGATAATGTTTTCGTTTTTTAAATGATGACTGTATAGTATAGTCTATGTGTTGCCGATGAGGCTCTTTCCAGCAAGCCAATCCTACCATAGGTCAAGAATAATATATGCTATATATACGTCCCGCACTTTCATGGGAGCATCTAGAAAAGAGGTGGTGGCTTGCATTGACACCATTTCTGATGCCACGCAGACTGCAGTGACGCCAGCGGAGCATCTGCATTGCCAGGTAGACTTGCAGCCGTCCGATCGATACTGGGGAAGAGCCAAGCAGATTATACACGACATGTTCTCGATTCCCCTTCCGTGCGATCTGAATATTAGTACTTACTTATTGCTCATAGACTGATGCTTCGGTGTTAGGGGCTTTACCCCTTTTAATAGCCAACAATCTTCAAAAAGCCCATCCATACTACCTAGGTAGGTACCCAGGCTAGCCAACCAATTAAGGGTAGATCATGGTTCGCCGCCACGATTTGATGTATCTTGATTATTATCTACCCCAGGGAGATGGGACGTGCCAGATCAACTCTATTCCCGTACCTGATGCTACTACGTAGGTGGCATTTTAAATCCCAGGTAACTGTAGCCTCAAAACTTCTATTATTCTGTGCGTACCTAAATTGAACATCGTTATCTATACCAACATGCCAAGGCAATAAAGCCAACCCCGAGCTTCGAGACTTCTGTAGGAGCTACGTGTTAAAGAAAAGTATAGAACGGTAGTATATACGTATATATCATAGGGAATGAGGGAAAAGGCTCTGTATAAAGATATATTTAGACTTGTAAGCACATCTAATATAACGAGACACTTTTTAGACAAAATTACCATGTAGGTAATGATAAGCATGTAATGTTGATAATCCCGAAAATATTCCCCTTTCCTATTTTTCCCAAGCTCTACCTTAATCTGGTCCCGCAGGGGGGTTAATGAGATTCAGAGCCTTGATCAACACTTGGCCATACCAGAGTGAACAAAGAAATGCACGCGAACTAGCCCACCACGCTACCACGCATCTTGACGGGACCCAATCGCGGACATACGCCGAGCGATCAGAGTCCTTGTCAAATGCAACCACGCACAAGGATGGACAGGGATTGCGGACGGGCTACCACCCCTGCCGGTCATCAGAACCCCAATTCCATCCCATAATCTCATCACCGGTCAACTAAGGGAGCTGAGCTTTTTCAGGTCTCTCTTATTATTCAGCTACGTTTCCCGTAAGCTTAAATTTCTTCTTCCTATTTACTTGGTTAAGAAGGTACAAGGATAGAATAGGATACATATACATGCATGTATAAATCAAGATTAGGTCCCTTTTGCATTTGATAGTAGCACTACTCCGTGTGCATAGTTTACTTCCTTCCATAGGCCCAAAATTGGAAAAAATAACTACAGGCGCCCAAATAAAGGAGGGAAAAAACCCACCCTAGAAAAAAGCACTATATATATTTATCTACTATATACGTACGTGTCTACGCATTGCGGTGCTACTACAAAACAAAAGGTATGCCGCAGGATGTACTTTTAATAGAGAATCAATAAATGAATCGTAATATAGGTAGTAATGGCAGCCCAGGCATTTTAAGAGCATCCCGGGATCTTGGGTGCATGGAGCTCGTAGGGGGCGGATGACGGGTGCTAAGTTGAAATCGAACAGGGTTCTGGCCTCTTTCGCTATTTACAACTTACACGCACGGCCTACCTAGCTCGCCTAGCCGTGTTTCCCCCTTGGACTTGACAAGTTGACATCTTACATCCGTAACTTATAAATTGGTAAAGGGACACCCCAGAGGAGGTATGCGTTCAGAGACAGAGACACTGTACAATTTTGCTTTGCATGTTTTTTTCTTATTCTAGTAACTTGCTCCAACTATCTACATGAAGCATGTCTTCTTTCTACCCCCTCCCCTCCCCCGGTTTAGTGTGATAAGCGTGATACTCGATTTACCTCCTCCAAGGGGCCTATGTCCTTTTGTATCAAGAGATCCTAGTTGAAATCCTAGAAATTTCGGCACTGATATTTTGCATATGCACTCGTTCCGTACTCCGCACTCATTGTATTCTCAAGTAGACATATTGCCTGCTCCTTTGACCCACGTGCTAGTGTCCCTACTACCCAGTCCGCCCCCAGATCTAGCAAGCCACCGACCATTGTAGGTAGACCAAACCCAAAGTTCCATCGTGTGGATTATTCAACGTGCAGAACGGCCCGCCATACCCAAACTAGTAGGCCCTAACTAATACAAAGAAGCTACTATGTATAATGTGACTATGCAAGAAGATACCTAAGTGGTAGTGACACGCTCCGGGGACCTGATCTGAACAGCTTCTCAGTAGGTTAGAGCCATTCCCGAAGAGAGCTTAAGAATTTACGGGAGTACACACATATCTACCCACCCATCTACTTACCTGATGTACATACATACCTAATGTAATCTAACGCCACGCTCCTATTCAGGCCAACCTTTTTTTCTTCCCTACCTGAGCTTTTCACTTTCGAGCTGCATAGGTATATGCACCTACGGCAGCGCCTCAGCCCATCGAGTCTGGGGGTGATTAGTTCGAGCAAGTCCTTGTCTTTACTTACAACCTTCTTAACCCACTGCAGCAGGACCCCTTCTCTCCAGAAATGAATAAACAATCGAGCAATGCGATCAAAAACTCTATATGATCCCAATGGGTGTTAAACAGAGATTTGTATATTCCCATCTGGCCAGCCGCAAAAAAGAAAACAAAAGTTGATAAAAGGCCACTCCTCAACGGTCTAGCCGGCCAAGGACGCCCACATCCCCCAGCAAGGATTCGATCAATCATCCAATAGAGTATATAGTTCCATAGGCGCCTCCCGGCAGCCATACTTATGATCGACGTCTCCACTCATAACTTATAATAAATGTGTACTTACACTGCCTATCAAGGGAGTCTTCTATTACTACTGCAGTTCGTCCAAGAACTCAGACCTTAGCCTCTCCAATACCTTCAAAGACAGCCTCAACCAACTTGGTCTGGGGATTCTGTTCCCCAAGCCATAGCTACTAGCACAACTACTCTCTTACCCCATACTATTTCAATCGCGCTGGTTCGGGTTGTGGTCCGTTGGCAAGCGACTGGCGACTCAGCAACACGGTGCGACTAGGATACAAGATCCCCCAAATATTAAACGACAAATCGTGCCCCTTGGTTTCTCTTAGCACGAGTATAGTTAACTTCAAACTTCAATGCTACTTACAAGCAACCTATTGCGATAAGATTTACTAGTTCTTACTTAGGTTTATAAATTTTGGTCGCTGGGTAAACGAAGAAAGCTCGATCTATCCATTTACTCTTTACGCTGGGACGAGGGGGAAAGTAAACAGGAGAGCGCTCTCTTCTATTCTCTATTCTCGCCCTTTCCTCAGAAACAGAATAATGGAAACCGCCGCAACGAGCTTCACGTCACGTAGACCAGCAGCTCATACGCTTCCTCAGTTCCATCTACCACTTCCGACACCAATAGATAATCAAGTACCAAGTATGAATCGAACTACTTATATTTGCAACATGAATTTATTAGCAACCATACTACCACTTTCTCTACCTCTTCTTGATCTTCTCCGTTTTCCTTCTTACCCCATACAAGACGTTGTCGAGATGACTGCGTCAATCCCCCGGCTTCGATCATCGAATATGCTCGAATACAGCCCTCTAACTTGCGTTACAGGAGTAACAGGCATCGACAGCCTGAGCCCAATCTCTCCAGGCGCCAACAACCATAGTTCTCAGCATTCCCAGGCTGGTTTACCGTTCAACAGTCAACAGAGACTCTGGGCTGCAACGGGTACTCAGTCTTATACGCACAGTCCGATGAGCCACGGAGGACAGCCTCCGCTCATGCAGCAGAACTACAATCGCCCGATCTATTCTCCTAATTCCGCTTATCGAGGTTCACAATCCCCCGGGACGGTGGATATTCTAGGAGCTTCTCCCTACGACAGCGGCTCTTCTCCTTATCAACTCTCGATTTCAGGAAGTTTAGGTCATTCTAATATACTATCACCTGCTCCGAATCAAACCTCCTTGCCAATGATGAACAGCCACCCCCAAGGGTCGCAACCTACAGCGCCATCGACGTCTGCAGGACCCCCAGACGCTTACTCGCGGCCGCCAACAGCTTCTGGTTACTATTCAGGACCTTCTTCGTCGACGACCCCACATACTTCTTATCCATCCTTTACTTCCACACACACTTCTTCATCACAATCGTCTTCGATAACGACTGGAAGCTTATCAAAAAATGCCTCGACGCTTAGCCCACATCAACAACATTCTCCAATGCATTCTCCGATGCAAGCACCACCATATAGGCCCCTTCCTTCTTACACTCTTCCTCAAACAATGGGAGGCGGGTCGACAGTGGGAGGGCCGATCATGTCGAACATGACGAATCCTGGAGGTCAGATGACTATTATGAACGGCATTGGCACAATGGGACACGGATATCATCCAACTGGACATCTAGTCAATCAACATCTTTACACTAACAACCACCACCCTATCACGCAAGATCGCCCCTTTAAATGCGACCTCTGTCCAACATCGTTCAACAGAAACCACGATCTTAAAAGACACAAGCGAATTCATCTTGCAATCAAGCCGTTTCCCTGCACCTTCTGCGAGAAGAGCTTTTCTAGGAAGGATGCGCTAAAGGTAGGCTATCATCGCGTTTGAGAGTTGAATTGGTTTGTATAAGCTGCTAACTTTTACGCCCAACAGCGCCATAGAATGGTAAAGGGATGTGGAATTGGAAAGACCCCGCCGAACGACGGAAGCGGTAGCTCACCGCGGGAAGATACAAAACGCGATGCAGATAGTCATTCAGGCTCTGAATACGGCATAAAGCAAGAGCCGTTGTAGGAGACTGGATTCTCATTGGTAACCACGATATTCTATCAGAGAACTCTGTCTTCCGAGCGATGTTAGCGGGCAAATGCTACGCTCGAGTTTGAGAAGCATAATAATACACTCATGGGTGGTGGTTATATTTCACCTACACCTGTTGTCGAAATGATATATAAAAGCAACATAACGAATGGAGGGGGCAACAAGCGGAAAATAGCAGGGCTCGGAGTCAACGGTTACGGATTTTGCGAATGGGCATGAAGAATGCTCTACGAGACACCACAGCCACGATATGGGTTTACGGCTGTTATCATACAAGCGAGTTGGTAATGAATTTGCGATTCTCCTCTAGGAACCGACGAGACATATTATATATCGACCTTGCCTTGCTATTTACGAAGTCTCTGTCGTTCTAGTTGTCAGGTCAATATTCATAGCGGAGGGAGGGATTGTAATAGACTTTGAGTGCTTTCTTGGTTTTTTTTTCCTTTTCCTTAATATTCTGTTTCATCGGTTGCTTGGGATTCGCATATTACCTATAGCTTTCATTGCCCATCTAGGCAAACATTCAGTCACGCATCGCTACGAACCGCTACGAACCGCTACGAACCGAATCGATCGGAAGTCTTGCACCTTTCACGACATCATTTGGCATCAGCGGGACAAATGCCCGTTACAAATATATTTCGAATTTGGACACATCGCCCACGTAGGAGATTCATTAGGAGCGGCATCCCATCGCTAGCAGAAATAGCGAGTGTTGAGTCATCATGGACCTTCGGATGTACATTGAATGAGGAAGCCTTGTATGATATAGGAGGCAAATTAGACCAGGGTTAGCCGAACGAGTTCTTTTCACAGGGTTGCTTGTTTGAGCGAAAAGAAAGCGTTCTCAGTTCTTCGACCCTTTCAATAGTATGTTGATACCCCGTATACCTAGTGTATGTAGCTCAAATTATTTCACACAGCTACGTTATATGTAGTAATAACAGTCCGCATGATATTGACATTTACAAAATGCCCCAGTTCCCATCTCAAGCCAGTCACAGAATGGCATTCAACGTGGCACAGATAGTGAAGGTAGCGGTATATCTGTGGGACTCTACCTAATTTAATATTGGCCACATCGGAGGGCTAGGTAGGAGGAATTATCTCCAAGTAGGTTGCGTACGATATCACGAGAATTTCCTGTGCTTACCTAGGTAACCTACATGACAAATTTTCACAGAATAAATATATATCTATATGTCTCTCTTAATATATATAATTGTCTTCTATACTTTTAGTAAGAACACGTTACGTCTATTCATGAAAATAGATTAGAAGATGACGATATCAGTAGCTTGACCCCTTCGAAGCCGAAGAGAACTAATAAAAGCCACACCTTAAATACAAGCTGTTAAATTCAAGCTAAATTCTAGTGCTCTACGGTTAGCCTATAGGGTCGGTTATTCACTCTTTCTCAGACGTGAGATTTAACCGGTCAGCATTGGAAAACACGAATGGAGCACGGAATGTGCATGTATGGACTTAGTTGCTTATACGAGTGGTAATGCTGATCCCTAGCCTGGGCAAATTCACCACATGGTCCTCGTGCTCACTTTCACACGAGACTTGGGCCTTCAAAACCCGAGACGTTTTATTATGTCTGACTACAGCTAAGCGGCGGGTACAGAAGCCATAGCCAAGAAAGACTGAGACCATACAAGAGGAATGGTCCAAAAGAGCATATTCGAGACACCCCCCCGGTCTAAGCCATTAGAACCCTTGAATCTCGATCTTCCGTCGGCCAAGTAATGCATTGCATCTTAGATAGTGGCGGCCGTCCTACACATTCCGCGCCATATGTAAATGCAGATAAATATGCACTAGCAGGCCGTGTTTCTCAAGGGTTCATTTATCGTGGCTTTGAGCCGACCTAACAGACTAGCTTGCAGGGCCAGCTAGCCAGTCAGCCATTCCCGCTCTGGCTCCATGGCGAGACAACGATCCCGCGCGTTTAAGAGGTGGGAATTGGGCCGCCTGCTTCGCTAGCAGAGACAACAATACGCAAGTTAGGACCTTCTGGTTTCTAGTCTAGCGCTCCAGTACGCACGTAAGGGTTTTGGGGCTCTAATACCTGCCCAAGGTAGGTAGGTATCTACGTATGTAAACATGTGTATTCGGCTCCGACTACGCAGCACCACTAGTTGTATCCACTCCCAGACCGAAGTGCCTAGATTGTGTTAACCGTGTGGTTCCCACATGGCGAGGCTGAAGACACTGACGCTGTCTCGAGCCAGTAGGAGCTGATCCCCTGTCTTATACCGCATGTACTGCGCTTTTTACGTATTTTCCAAACGTTCGTGGACCTACGTAGGTATATTTACTGCGGCTATTCTTACTCTCACACTGATACGATTCATAGTATGTAAGTAAGGCTCTACGACTGTTCCCTACTTTATCATTCCCCCTTAGTAACCACTGGGCGCAAGGACATCCATATGCCCCTTATGACGATTTCCATTCCAACTATTAAACGGATCCACTTGTTCGTCACTCATTCAAATTACCTGGAATACATGGACATGTCTCCCAGTCTGTCTTGGCTAACACTGTTTTTTTTCATGTTGGTGGAACACAAAAGTCCGAATGCGAGGCCCTGAAAAAAGCAACCCCAAAGGGCCTAGGTTAGGTAGTCGATTATGGGCACTATTGGATGGGTAATTCCGTGCTTTAGATCCCAACAGTAAACCCTAACAACAGAAACATGAGCTATACAGCTAGCTTCACTTCCTTCCAGGATCTAGGTCATAAAAAGACATGAAGATCAGGGCAGAATTTTATAACTTATCATTTGCATAGCATCGCATATACGTTAGGTAGGTACTGTCAGCTCTCAGAAATGCAAACTCTCGATATTCTAAGAACCAGATCTCAACAAGGGTTTCGTTGCACAGAAGCTTCAATCAGGACTGTAACAATAACGCCTTAACCCCCTTATTCCCCTTATTCCCCTTCGATCATAGATAGGTAGGTATGTTTCGTAAGCTATAGTTAGTAGTTTCGCAAGACAAGTTACAACCACAAGCTTAACTCGCCCCCTTATTTTTTTGATATATGCCTAAGTCTGTAGTTTATGAGACAATATTGCGCCTCGCTTATAAACATAGCCTATATTGTTTGGTTCTCGGTGTTATCGGCGACTAAATGAGTTTGTGTAGCGTGAGCTTTTACTTTTTCTCCTTTGCCCCTTTTCCTCTTTTCCTCTTTTCCTATTTTTATCTTATTGGCAACGCCGAGGCCTGTTTCTTGGTCATAGCCACATCCCGGGAAGCAAATCAACGTGGAATTAGGTCTAATAGTTATTTGATTAAAGCGAACTACCTATGAAAATGGCATTGTCTCTAATAGCTATACCTAAGGTACCTAACTTTAAGTTGCCCCCAATATGCAAGCCTCGGCGAGCTTTGGGTAAAGCGGATTTAGATGTGACCCCCACTCACGATGCATACTACCTAGGTACCTACATACATCCATAGTACATAGGTAGGTTCCTAAGTAGGTATATCAAATGCTCATATGCATATAGATGTGCATACATGTGATATTTATGAGCATCCTAGCGCCTGAGACTATTGACCGGGACCACACAGGGATCATAACTTGTCTCTCGACTCCGCCCGCGCGCTACGGTGAAAGACGATCTAAGACAAGCTTTTTCAGGGTCCTAAGCGGGCTGAAGCCAGAGCTCTATTCCTTTTAATCCCGTTGGGAATAGTTGCCATAAACGGCCGATCGTTCTCTTTCGATTAATCATTCCGATTTTGAATAAGACACGATCTAGTGACCGTTCACCGGCAGCTATATTTCCCATTCGGGAAGCCATGTCCGCGGCAAACGGCGAATCGCGAAGTCTCCTCCATCTGATGTGTAATAGGAGGTCGAGCTTTAACTATCATCGGATCTTCTGACCACGCTACTGATCCATCCCACGGGAATGTAGTGCATCGGACGCTGTAGTTTAGAAGAAGCTCCCTACTGAGATTCGTCAAACACGGAGAAATCTCTCACTGGGTAGAATCCGATTCGAGTAAGACGAGAATCATACCTATGCCATCCGTCGTCGGTTTCCCACCAACCAGAATATGACCTTTATTCCAGCTGTCGTTAAATTAGACTCGGGTGTCCAGTTCTCGTCGGGCGACATCCCGGCTCTCGGTTCACTCGGGTATGTCCGAACGGGTTCGCGTTGTGGCCTCTTGCAGTTGCTGTCACCAGTAGGTAAGCGCGTATGGTACTGCGCACTGAGCCGTCCGCGGGGGAAAGCAGCCCAAGCGTACATATCAGATAAGATGAATCCAATGGATGCATGCATGCTCCCGAGAAGGACTCGAGAAACCAAGACAGGAACTTAGACATCCGCCCGGGCATCTAAGCAAGATGCCGATGGATCACACTTCCGTCACGGCGGGAACAGTTTCTAGAGCATTGATCCCTGGCAGGTCTCTGGGGCTCTATCATTGATGTACCCGCCTTAGTGGGACCCCGCAGCAAGTCACCAGACAGACCCCGATGAAATATCGCCGAGAGAGGATCACGGCACGGGCGGTACAGATGGGAATGCGTGCCTTATCTGTCCTACCACACGACCGACGGGGCGATTGGGAATACAAAACTCGCGCCCACAGGGGCTACAGGAGTAATCAGATGATCCCTACTTTGCTAGGACATCACCCCGTTGCAGTTTAGGTGGAAAGAAGTAGGAAGGGAGAACGGCTGCTTGCAGCTCGGCAAATTTCTGCGGTGGCTTTCACTTGGATCAACACCCGTGTAACCCAGACCATCATTTTGACTTGCCCGCTTCGCCATTACTTCCTTTTCGTACTCTGTCACCAATGGCTGACGTGGTGTCCCAACACTTGGGCATCATCTGCTGTGTACGTGAACTGTCCTGTAACATAGTGTTCCTCAAAGAACACGACGTTTCAGAGCGCATAAGGGAGCCGTGTGCTTCCCTATCGTGCTAGTCAAGATTGACACTGCTTCCGAGGATTCACAGTTGCTCCAGGAACCATTATGCTCGGTTTGCATATATAATTACAGCCGAGGCTCGGCCGCGTAAAGGTTGGTGCCACAGGCATATTCTAACAACTCCAACTTTCTCCAGAGCAGTCTCGTGCTACTCGCTTCGCTCTTCTAGCAAATTACATAAGAGAATTTGGATCGTACGACTCTAGAAAGGAACCGATGATTGATAATGACATGTGTAGCAAACCGCCAAGGTCTCCCTATTCGTGATATCTTAGGGTTAAATGAACTTCCCAGACTTAATGACGAATTAATTTAGTAGCTACGAGGTTGTATTACCAAATAAGCAGTATCTTGACCAATCTAAGAGAACCAAATCGCCACCGAGTTTGTAGCTTAGATAGAGTATTGAATAATTCCCTTGAAGCAACGTAGGTGATCTTTTTGTCATGTCCTCATACGTCACATCTATCAAACCATATGCAAAGAGCCTAGGTTAGACTCTTTGAATATCTATCTATATTATGCTATAACCCCAGTATCCAGTTAACAATACCCCTTTAACGAAGCACGGGGCGTTTCTAGTAACCAGTTTCCATAACTTAACATATCCGACCCATTATAGAATTCTGATGCACTTCTAAACTAGATAATATAGTACAAGATATCACCATAGGAGCCTTTTATTTATTACCTAGGTACTCAATTCGGTCTTAAGTTCATTAGAAAATCTAGGGACTAGTACACGATACTAGTATGTGTAAAGCGTGACAACATCTTAAGTATCAGTTCCATTTTCTCCTTCCTCCTCCATCGCTCACCTCCACCTAAATCTAAATTTAACAAAGCGCGAAATTTTAGTACTACAAGTCCTTAATTGTAACTTTAGTGAAATGGGTTTCTTGTACCCCTAATTTGTCCACCCCCTATAGAGATCATTAACTTGGCTTCTCTAACTTCTAAGTCATTAGCCTAATACTATTAAATGGCAACCCTATCTAGGAAGAATGTATTAAGAGTGCTTCAAAGCTAAAATCCAACCGGCCTTCGCGGGAGTGTTTATACATAATTCATCGTAAGGAACACAAAAAGTGAGAATACAAACCCCCTAACCTACCAGTAGTCAGTTAAATGCCTAGGTAAAGATAAAGCCACTTCTAGACTTTTCAGATTTCATTTACTTTCCTCTCCTATTTATTATTCCTTCAGTTTAACTCTAATTATAGTCAATCCCCCAAGAATTAAGTGAAAGTTCTAGCTAATATGGCAACGTAACAATTTATTCACTTATCTATATTGCTTACCATAATCTACTCGGAACTAGCATGATTACTTGAATAAAGAACTCCTCTTCTATGTGAAACTACAATAACAATTACAACAGTCTTTAAATATCCTTTAGTTACTCATTTCTAAATCCTTAAACTAAAAGAGGGGAAAGGGGGGCCAAGGTTGTACCTACAAGCAGTACACTCTAATAGTCGTTAATATAAAATTTGCACCACTGTCAGCTACCAAGTACAGTATATTATAATAGTATAATATATAATATTAATAACGGAGATGTGCTGAAAGGGGGATCCATAGCATAAGGGCTTCACTCGCAATTACGATGCGAGGCAAGGACTAAGATCATTAGCATTTCTATATCAAGAGTAAACCCTGAGAAATCCAAGACCGTTGTCCATAAATAGGTGTATGCATTCCACAATTTTCTTCCTGGTCTTTGAAATTCTTAATTCCATATCAGCTTTCTATCTGAGGGAATAGAGAAAGGCGTTGAAAAATTCGGCTGTATATTGACATCCTACTGGGAGGTATACAACGAAAGCATAGAAGGCTTAGCTCATGCCAGCTTTTATCTTTCAAGCGTAATCTAGCGGTTTAATGCCATCACCCGTTTCGTTATACTATGATTACCTTCAAGGCATATAAGATCATAGCAAAATCCAATGCCTACAACATAGAGCATTCACCCCGAGCCTTACAAACTCTGAACGATTATCAATATACGTTCTTAAACATCAATATATATTATTGCACCATAAAAAAACTGCGGCCCATTCTTCGAGAGCCAACACTTCAGCGCTTCTAGCAAGAACTTGTGGAGGTCAACATGGAGATAATATATATCCTAGGAAGCTATACACCTTTGGCGCTTAGCCTTACCTTATAGCCTATAGACCTCCAACTTCCTACTTAGGCACAGAACTCCTATCTATATCAGTGATCCAGTCTTAGATAGCTTCATAGTTCCTCCTATTTCAACGAAGTTGTGGTTCCATCTACTGCTCACATCCACAAACCACCGCTTCATAAAACGCGTATACGGCCGCAACGGCACACGAGGTCTGCCACATTGTAACATGCTACACATGGTTACTTTTAAAGGAGCCAGTTATGATAAGCAACCCAAAGAGGTTGACACTGGCCAATAGCTCCAGCGGAATTTAAGACTGCAAGCTATTGCTCATCAGATCAATAGGAAAAGGTCCACAGTTGAGGATAAGTACAATGTGAGAAGTGACGAAAATAGGTGATGAATATTATAAATATTATATTTAACAACCCCTCGAATAGGTGCTGGGTATTTGATAAGCGACGAAGAGGTTCACGAAGCAACTTATACCAAGACGTATCGGCCAGATCTCAAATGAAACGTGGGGTAACAAGGGTGCAAGATCTAAACCAAAACAGCCCAATTAGCGTGCATAGATTATACTTGCCTCTACTTAATCCGGCTTGGCACCCAAACGGTTAGATGGCAACCACAATGAGGTCTTTTGAGCATATAAGCGCTGATGGAAACAGGAGATTATAAGATACATGTACTACATGTAGTATCGTACTACATAGGTAGGTACGTTATATTTGGATAATGGGTATTAAATTTCACATATCTTTGTTTCCTAAGGCAATGGAATTGGCATAGGTACGGCCGCGTTTGTTATGCTCTCCTGCCTTGAAATTATCGGTACTTTAGGTACATGGCAGTCCTTTAAGGCCGTAAGGTGTGCATATGTAACAGATGTACTTGGATGTACTACGTGATGAAACTACCCTGGCAAAAGTTTGTGGTACTTAACTATTAACTTTACTGCCGTACCTTCCCATCCCTTTCCATCCCTCTACGAGAAAGAAAGAAAAGCAACACAATTCCGCCTTCGCCTCTCTGATAGTTCTTCCTTCCTTCCCTTCTTTCTTTTAGTCTGTAATTCAAGGGTCAACATTTTATTTGTGGGGCATTGCAGGTTAGACTTTCGGCCTGTTCTCTCAAATCGTTTGCTACCAGTATAACACTCAAGGATCTAAATTCAAGTTCTACTCACCCCGTCTAACTAATTCTACGAGTATCATGTGCAATTCATGAGCAACGCGCCCGAGTTTCGTCGCAAAGGTTCGATCATTCATACCCAAAAGAATATCCCCGACACTGGTCTGGTTGCTGTAGCCGAGACGAACTGGAATATTTCGCGAATTGAAACCCTCCTCCCCAGGCAGTCAACATCCCGATCCAACGCGACAGGTATTTCGCGGCTCTGTGAACAATCTTACCCAACAACGATACCTCAGTTTCCTTTCAACTTAATCTCCCCAATCTTAACTACAAAATAGATCAACTGGAATGTTGTCCCCACGCGACGATCAACATATGACAATGAACATGAGTGACATGGATATGTCGCACTCATCTATGATGCATATGGTCTTTCAGAACAGCATCACTACGTCTCTCTACTCAGAATCCTGGACACCACGCACGAGCGGCGCCTATGCTGGAACCATCATATTCTTACTCATTCTTGGCATAGCGTTTCGACTACTACTTGCAGGCAAGGCACTAGCAGAGGAGCGATGGTTGGATGCTGAGATGAAGCGAAGATACGTTGTTGTGCAGGGAAAGCTCCCTGTCGCAGAGCAGGTGTCAACTGACAGCTTCAGCAAGAAGATGACACTGACGGAAAATGGCGTCGAAGAGGATGTTATGGTTGTACAGAAGAAACAGCTTCACCTTCGTCCTTGGAGAATGTCAGTCGATCCTATGCGAGCGGTGCTAGATACTTGCATTGCCGGTGTCAGCTATCTTCTGTAAGTTCAAACCATACCAATCAGCAATTATAGCTATGACTAACAAAGACACACAGCATGTTGGCAGTCATGACGATGAACGTCGGATACTTCATTGCAATCCTCGGTGGCACATTCCTAGGCAGCCTGCTTGTCGGCCGATTCTACAGCTCAGAACACTGAAACGCATCATTGCGGAAGGAAAGGGAAGCATTGCCGGTTTTTAAGTCGCCAAGACGGCGCACATTAATTTTCCAATATATGATACGACGGCACGAGCATGATTCCGGTGGTGTTTGCGAGTTTATAAGGGACGGCATGCATTTGGTTCCAGGCTAGTAGATATCAGCCTATAAGGCAAAGGGAGGGGCACTTTATTATCATCACTGCGATTTGAGCATGGCGTTAGGGGGGGCAGTAAGCAAACATGCAAGCTGAGGTATTTGCTACTCAAACGAGACAGTTTAGATATTCAGAAGCTGCATCAATTTCGCAAGAATCCTATCAATATGATTATTAATTGAAGCTAAACCAGTCCAGAGCTATGGAAACAAGGAGCTATTACATATAGTGTATGTTGTATATGTATTCACTCCACGACCAGTGGGGGTAAGAAACCTTCTCAAATCTGCTCATCTAATACATAGGTACCTAGGTAGTGTAAAATACCCCTGTCGCCCACCCCACGTATTTTCCACAAATCATCAGCTTTGCTTGACCTATTCTGGGGACCCTTATTGCCGGTCGGTCCAGTTCTAAGGCCAGAGATCTGGGCTTGGGTCCAGACTCAGATCTCCGCTTCACGTGCTTCGAGTTCACTGCATGTCACTATGCGCTCCATCGCCAACCTTGCCATCCTTAAAATAGTAAGATATACTCTAGTCTAGATCTATGGACGAGCCTTATTATCATCACCCAACTTTACGCATACCTGCAACTTTTTTTTTCTACGCAATTGCAAAAGCTAACCTACGGGGTTTACCTCAAAGGTTTCGAAGTAGGGGTTAAACTTTTATAAGAACAATAGGATAGGAATATTTTGAGGACAATACTTTGTAGTAGGTTTCGAAATTTGAATCATAATGGTATATAATTGATATATTGTAGCCTTGCGTATCACACGGGATATATCCCTAATGAGCTTTCAGGAGAAAAAAACCAGTTGGGCTCCCAAATCCGTATTTACACTTGTGAATTACTTCCAAAGAATATTTGGAATAATATGAGTTGAAGATCTTGCCTACCTAGAGATTATATGCACAAAGGCATTGCCGGCAACTCCGAAAAGATTTACGAGGAAACCTTCATCACGATACCCAGACTTCCATCCTTTTATCCAATATTCAGGACACCGTCAGTTATTGTATTTGACAGAGGTCTAACAATTAAGCTATGGCAATATCCTTAAAGCTCAATGGAAACGGTGTATTATGGCAGATAGAGAAGAATGATAGGCTCTCGTTAGCTTAGGAATAAGACTGCAATTGCCACGAGGGAGTAGGATATGCCTATGGGTACTTAGAAGTGCAAACTAGCCCACCATAGGCTAGAAAGGCGAAATAAGAGAATGGTAATGGCACACAACTGAAGCCTATCTGTGTTGCTAATAAAATTAGTCAAGACTTGAATATCTCCCCAAAGGGCCTTGACGATCATTGAAGTAGGTACTTTTCATTATCCCCATATATTTCCTGAGGATATGAATAGTCATGAGAAGTCGAGTGATATATCCAGTCTCCCATCACATGGATGGATGGGGAAGTATATGAATACAAGATAGGGGGGTTCTAAGGGTGGCGGATATGGATATACTAATAAATAAATTTACACAAGACGAAACTTTCCTAATAAAGCCAAAGGGGCTAAAAGTTAAGATGTTTTGCTCATATTAGCAAGATAGGGATAAATACTATTATAAGTTCTTCAGGCCAAGGCCTTATCTTTATAGTTAACATAGTAAGTCTAATACATATACATATAAGAGGTATATTTCATAGGAGCTATTAGTTAAGGAACACTTAGTGATTTAGATAGTCTGTTTGCAATCGACTGATGCAGACAGCACAAATCCGATCGAAATAGACAAAGAATCACAGCAATCACTGAGAATATTCCATTGTATAAGTTACCTTACAAAATGAGCCTCAAAAAATTAGAGCCTTATGAGATAACAATAATCCTTTCTACATCTTAAGCAGTGTGAGTTACATACTATATGGCGAACGACTTTGAAAAAGGGGCAAACCAAACTGTGATGACAAGAGAGACTCAGTTAAGAGAGTAACCAGCCCACAACTCGCCAGACCATCTACATAGATCCGAGCAATTCACCGCAGTAACACAAAAACGAACTTGAACAACTCTTTCACACACCCACCAGTTTACAGCAAATCCGCTTGCATAAGAATCTTGTCTACGTGTACACAATACTGCTTAAAGCAAACTCATGTCTACCGCTGCCGAGAAATACATTGACACTGAAGACTTAACCCTAAGACGCCTAAAATAAATAAAGAAACAGGAGACAGCACCCCGTCTAGAAGCTCCCCTGCCAACTACAATTACTTATATATACACACCATGGCTTGACGCATACAAACACTGGCTATGAAGACAAGATCTTGATACGAAAGACTGGTATGTTTAAAACCAATTACTTCCGAGCGTGACATGTTGGACGCAACACGTGTATGGCACATACCGTTTTCTAAAGGTGCGCTAGTAACACCTATAGTTCAAGGATGCGTACTGCAAACTACATGTTTACTAAACCTCTGTTTTACAGATTACTACATAAAATCAATGGCCAGGTTCAGCTCTTGACCATCGCGGAAAATAGACCGAAGCTGCTGTGAAATTCTTCGCACTGGACAACTACTAGACAAATCACTCACATTAAATCAACAAAGTCCACAACGTTAGAGAGCTTTGAGGAATTTAACTTCGATATGGAGCAATTCTCAACTGAAATATCAATTGCCAGACGCCAAGATCTTGGGGATCTACGGGAGGACAGTGCCTGCCTGTGGAATGATTCCTATCATACAAACGCCCCTCCTCCTCCTCCGGTGTAGAGCGTCTCACCTTTCATCCAGCTCATCACGGCCTAATGCCTGGAGAAAATGACTTTAGATGGATAGAAACGATCGGATTGAAACCCGAGACATGTACCTAAAACTATGCTGATGCCAGGGCATTGAAAACGCCAGAAACGTGAATTCTATCCTCAATCGAGTACTCATGATGAGGACGGAAACTTATAACTGCGTTAAAGAATGATTACCACCCCTTGCCACATGAGTTTCTGGTCGTCAAAGGCTTTTAGATGATAATGTGGATCGTAGCAGCAGCAAAGTCTTGGTTTACGAAAAATGCCCGCCTCAGTCAATTAACAGCAAAGTCGGTTCCAATCGATCAGTTTCGTTCATATATTCGTCAGCCATGATTCGTAAATCATTGTCGCCGTTTCCTTGTCAAACATAAGGACGGTCGATCCAATTCAAGAATTAGTAGTGGCCACGCAGACTTAGAAGGCGAAGTATCCATCGAGATTCTTTCGACAACCCTTGATCCCATCGTATATTATCTTAACGTGATTGCCATCCCCTACACTCCTATGCCCAGGCAGGTAGGAAAGCGACCCTAAACGTATGCGGTCGTAGAAGAGGCGACCGGTAGAACCAATGTGGACCGACGAGGTACATGTCGACAAGGACCACTCTTTCAACTTTTAGTGGCAAGTTAGTGTCGAAGGTAGTGTAGACAATTTCGGAATAGTGGCCGAAACAAATCTCCTAATGGCTAGTTATAGACGGTGTAAGGGCTACCGTCATTGCTATAAAGCTTACTACCATTTAGAAAACTGAAGATCGGGAGAGGATGAGAAACCAGGTCCCTAAGCTTAGCAAAGCTGGGCCTCAGTTTATTCCGTGGAATATGAAGCAAGAATTAATGGATACTGAAAATTCGGGTCGAAGCCCAGGATCACCAATCGCAAATTTGGCCAGCGACAAGTGATATAATACGAAAGACGGTCGAAATCGGTACGGAAATAATATGGTCGCATTGTGCAGAACAAATAAGAAATAAGTCACGATGACCCAACAACGCCGGACCACCGAAGCCTTGCAATTATAGGTGTTTAGAATGCCTCGAATGAAAAAGAACCTCGTGAATGCATTAAATTCGGGGTATCAGGTGCAAGGCAATACTGTCGCCACTATAGCGACCGTCACGATTGATGTGAGGTGTGCTGTGGCATACCAGACTGTGCTAGCCCAAACTGCCCGCGCTGCTGATGCTGCATGTAACTTTGATACGCCATGGCTTGTTGGGGGTCCATGGGTACGTTAGGTACGTAGTTCGGAGGCATATGAGAAGGCATTCCCGGTCGGCTCGTCTGAGGGGGCAGATGAGAGTTGGGCGGCTCCTCAGGCGATTCGACTTGATTGGAATCGTCAACACCATTCTCATTGCCTTGGGTGGGCTCGGGCGCGTTCAAGCAAGCCTATATACAATCGGTCAGTTTAGGACTCGAATCCTGAGCCGCGAGACACGAACCTGGATGAGATTCTTTCCTTCCGCCTTGGTTACTAGCGGTTGGAGCTTGGGGGTGGTAAATGTGTACACAAGTCCAGTCTCCGATACGACAAGCAACAGAACTTGAGTGCCCGTCAGAACAGACAACTCGTATGCCTAATTAAGAAATAAGATGTTAGTATAAATATTGGCATGGCTGGAATCAATTTCAAAAGTAACGCGTTCGACGCGATGGGGTGAACTAATGTGCGATGAAGGCACTGGAAGCTGGTGCATAAACATACCTTCTTCATTATTCCGGCCTTGCGCTTGGAGAAGGTGATGTGACGACGCGACTTGTCGCTAATGAACTTTATCTCAATTTTGCGACGCTCGCGACTTCCCTTCTCATCATCATCATCGTCGTCGTCCGCGATACTAGCGCGTTGGCGCTTGATGCCACGGTTCTCTGCAGGGCCGGCATTGCCATTGCCGACGTGGGAATCGTCGAGTTCGGTGGGAGAAGTTTGGTCGTGTTGGTCTGTGATGTCGGCCATTTTTATCGAGGTACGACGATTGTATCACGAACGAAAAAGGCAAAAATGGTGGAGATACTGTTTTGGTCGTGGTGCCGATGACCTATACTTGATCTGGCGTTGAGCGGAGAGGCTCTGGGTTGTAGTAGGTTGTAATTCTGTCGCAGAAACCTGGTTGGGGCGCCTGCTGTATCGAGTCTGGTGCGCGGCCACCGGGCGGATTAAAGTTGGGAGATGAGGGCCGAAGAACAAGCGTAGAATTTATTAATTACTACTTCCTGCTTAGGGAAATAAAAATATAAAAAATGTGTCAAAAGGGAAAATAAGGTATAAAAAAAAAAAGTAAAAGATTGGCCGTGCGGCTTTGTTTGGCTTCGGGTTGGTTGTTTTTATTTTTGGGGGGGGTTGTCTCTCGGTACACCGGTCGGGTGGTAAGCTTGGAAAGTATTCGTCAATAGGTTGGTCAAGTTTTGGTATGTTTGCCTGCTAAGGTAGGTGGAAAATGTTAGTCAATTGCCCAAAACAAACAATTTAAAAAAGTGTAGCTTTAAAAAATAATAGTTAAATCTCAATTGGTAGTGGGCGCGAACCTCGAAAAAAAAAAAAAGTGATTGACAACCAACTAGATGATGGTCGGTGCTTTGCGGGCTGATGCAAATAAAGTCAAGGGGATTCTGAAAAGGGAGGCTCGGCGATTGTCAAACAGTACGCTTTTGGAGTTAAACTTCCCCTGTGAGAAAAGATCAAAACGTTGCCAGTATCAAGCTTGGTCTGATTGATTGATCAGGAAAGGTGAATGCGGGATGATTGAAAAGAGGATAGCGAGGTGGTAGCACACGGGCTTTTGCGTGGTCAAGGCCGCACTGTTTAAAAAGAAAAAAAAGATAGAAGCTGCGGGGGCATGGGCCACCAGGTGGCGGGTCGTGATTTTCCACTCTTTTTGCTCTGATCATACAGTTCATAGCACCAGACTGTACCAGCCTGCACCAGCAGTAGGACCGTTGGTGCTTTCCCCCTCGTTCCCCTGCTCTCACCCCCAGCCCAATGCTAGAGGAGCCCTGCTAGCTCTATCTAATCGTGGAGGTGCCTCTCTAATCAGACCAATCACTTACCTGGCTTATGACCAAACTAGCTACCTCTGTGCTTTAGTGCAGAGCTAGTGCTGGCGATACCACTCGACTTTCTAATAAAGTAGCAACAACCCTCGCTGCCTCGGGTGGGTTGATAATAACAACAACAACAACAACAACAACAACAATAATAATAATGATAATAATAATAATAATAATAATAATACTATTGTAAGGACTGGTGCACCTAGTACGTCTAGAGGGACCTTAGGGACACTAGATGAACAGTTACCATATTAATGCGCGGTTGCTTGCTTCGCTTGTCTGCATACCCCACGGGGTGAAAGGCATGTACCTAGGTAGGTAGATAAATAGGTACAATTAGAGGTACGTAAGATAGTGTAATGATGCTGAAGCTATCGGTGTGACCTGGTACTAGATAGCCTAAGTACCTATATCTCACTGGGCTGCCTGGACAATCAGACTGGCGCGGTCGAGTAATGGATGGATGGTGGAGACTATTGCTTTGTGAGTTTGGACCAGAGTATTTTACTGAAGTAAAGGATGAGGCATCTGGCCAATCAAATCATCAAGCAAGTGACATGGCTTACCGAAGGGGGGAACGCATGCAGGCTGGTAGCTCCTAAAATAACGGTGCAGAAATTTCCGCAGAACGCTCGGGTCCACCAACTGATGTGGACCATAATGGGGCTCTCTACCTACATGTACATACCTGGGTTCCCTACGACTGTACGTACCGAAGACGCTACGCGCGGTCTTATTATTATTAATTGTAGCGCTCCTTCTTCCCCCCACCTAAGCAAGTTGCTACCTGCCACCTGCCAAACTTGGGATCGCAAAGCTAAATCAGGTACTTGCCGAATTCGGCACTGTGCTTAACATCTTATTCGACGATATGTCTCCAGTTCCTTATGTGAAGCTTCGAGAGTTTCAACTCAATTCTAGCTTTATGATGTGTATAAGTGACCTATTTTCAATATGTAGCTTAACATTTATTTTAGAAGCTATATATTAGGTAGGATAAGCAACATCTATTCCTTAGGTGCTTAGGTAGCTTAAGCATTTCGATGCGAATCATCTAGTATTAAGAGAAATCACCATCATCATTATAGCATCCTATCTTCCCGCTTAAGAGGATCCGCGTTAAGCACAGGGCTCTTAATGAAATAAAAATGACGGTACCAGTTATTAGGTCTGAAGGATATATTCGACGTAGAGAGCTTTTAAATTAATATTACCATTTAACCCAGTAGAACGGTAACTGCTAAGTACGTTAAGAACATTTAAAAGCATGTGTAAGAGAAAAATAAATACTATTAATACACGTGGGATATATTTTATTGTCGAATGCTAAACACGTTCAAAAGTACCTTGAGTACTAGATACATGAATCATATTAACTCCAGATGGGTTGAATTATTAAGACATAGAGAAACATTATTAGTTCATCCGTTTGCGTTTTCGAGTGAGTGCCTAGGTATTTAAAAGCAATGAAAGGCTAGCAAAGTAAACCGTAGTAATCAACAGATGGCATATGATACTCCTTGTCCTCATAAGACGCATACTTGAAGTTAAATAAGCGTTGCGGGGTACGTGTTTACCTACGTAATAGTCAAGACTTGATGCAGGTTAGGATTCAACAAGTAGGTGATATATTTGTAATGATAGCAGAGACTGATGTATCGGTGTATATTGTATTGTTATTGTATTGTCTAATATACGTTGGAATGGTGGCATAAAGAATTTGGATCATAACCTATACCAAATGTCTTTGTAAGTACCGCTCTTCATTTTACGTATGTTCTCCCATTATTGACAACATGAATACATTTTATGCGTATTTTGCGATATCATAGCGAAATGTGATAAAACAACATACTATTTATTATTCACATCTAAGATGTATAATTCTACCACGTGTAAGTTGGTTTTGAGCCGCTTGGCAACTTAGCAGTCAAATGAGACATCTTAAATTGGTAGGATTCGGTTGAAAGGTTATTATAATAGGGTAAAACCTGTATTAATCTTTTATTTGTCCGGTTGGATGTATTTGAGTCGAGTGACTCGTTGCCAAGTTGAGCTGTCATTAACTAATGTGATGCGCAACGCCGTTCTTAGAGAATATCTGGCCACCTCATCCTGGATATCCGGTTTTCCCGTACTACTGACAATTTATTTGTCGATACACCAAATAGTCATCAAGAACGGGCGCGTAGCCATAGGCTCCCAGTTTGCATCGGTTTCGCCGTCGTTGAGAAAGGGTGGCTACAGCCGGTTGGGGTTGATGTATTTTGTTAAATGTATCTTGTTAAATGTCCCGAGGTCAAAGTAGTTCGGTTCGAGATACATACATCTCATTGTTGCATATTAGAGCTAGTAATCGGCGACTATCGGATACTTATTGGTTTGATTAGTGGCTATGAAAATTTCCTAGTAAGCAGGATACACCAATGAAGCCTAAGATATGCCGTCGGGATTTGGAAAGTAGGATACAAAGTGAAAATAAGCTTTTAAGATGGGTTGTGATAGGTATATCAATTCCCGGATGAGGTGGTAGATAATGACACTGGTCACAATTTGTCTTGAAGTGTTGGAATTTACCTAGGTAAAAATGTTGGTCCTTAACAGTGCGAGCTGGCGAACGAGTCAAAAGTCAAAAGTACAATACATGATAGAGTTGCATAACAGAGCAGCTTGCCAGGCTGCCAGGCTGCCAGGACCCTACTCGATGCATGTCGTATTGTACTGCATTAACCATTAACTTCTGCAGGTATTCTATGTATTGTACTGACGCTAGACACGCCATGCGCAGGCCCCCTGAAGAGCGCCCGATTACGAATGCTCGTGAATCTGTCATCTACTAATATGTACGTAGTGTATGTGGACGTAATTCCACCATATGAGCCATAAGAGCTGGCGCCTCCAGGATTCCCATAAGCCTTGCTAGTTTTGCATTTGCGTCAGCGGCACAGCAGTCCGACCGGAAGCCCGCTGGCTGGTGATTAACATGCATACTATGCAATAGCTACATATGAAAGTAAGTAGCTAGGTTAGCTGGGCAAGAAGAAAACATGGATTTCATTACTATATATTGCTGCAGGTTTACATGGTCTATATAGTAATGCCTTTGTAATGGAATATTAGTGGTGAAGATAGTCAGCAAAGCTGGAGCCCGCTGACCGCTTCTACACTAACTGGTATTGTAGGGGACCCTGACAGCGAGTTGACAGCCGAACCGCAATTTTGACAGGCTCTTAGTGCTTACGGGGCGGGAAAAAAGCAACACAAGCATGCTGTCTTAGCACACGTATTATTATTTTAGAGGTATACCGTATACCTGAAGTAAGAAGTGGGAAGAAAGCAATACGTATGGCCTACGTATGGCCTTGTTCTTGTCGTTGTGCTACTTCGCGTAACCAAAGAAGACCTCGGTTCTGATTAAAGACGTCTTACACTAATAAGCCCTAAGCCTTAAGCCTTACGGAGATGTGAGATGTCCTTATGGGCTTAGGTAATTCGTAAGTAGAAAACCAGTTGTGAGGATGTGATGTTGTCGCCGAAGAATCCTAATGGGGATTTATCCTTAACGCCGCGTGGAATGTCTACGTTCTAACCTAGGTTGATACAGTTGCATACATCTTTACATACATCTTCGAGAATAGATCACACAGCTGTCTTGTAGTGTACATGTTTAACTCTGCCATCTGGCAAGCTCTCCACTCTCATCATTCTGAGACTCGCACAGTGCAGCGCCTCACGGATCTGATGGATGGTTCTCTTGTAGAGTGTAGGAACAATGCGGGCACACTCCCCCATGCATGAGGGGCGAGCAGGGGTTCAGAGTCGCATCTTGCCTCCGTTCCAATGAAATGAAGGCCGTTCGACCATTTTGGAGTTGACCATATCGGGAATCCAATCCAGCACGTTGGTAGTGGATGGGATGGTCTTGACGTTTTCATCTTGATTAAGTCCGTACGTTAGCAGCTGTCTAGGTTAGATAGGTAATGTATGTAGAATTTTCATGTTTCGATTCAAATGCCGTCAAGGCTATCTTTAGAATTGAATTCCATTCTTTACAAATGTTCCTAATGATGAGACAAGGAAGATAGAAGAGACAAAGCCGTCGACGTAACCAGATAAGCAATAAAGACGCCCTCGGAGAGTATCGCTCTTAAAGCCGGAGTTGCTATGATTGGTTCATCTCTTACAGCGTACCAGCCTGACTTGATGTTATACCGATGCATCCAGCATCCAAGCATTGTATGTATGTCTTGCACAGACTTAATTGCCCTCGGACATGCACCAAAGACACCGAGGATGAAATGCCATTTCATTTTACTCATCTAGAGGTGGATGCCTAACATCTGGGTTTACACCCATGGGATGACTCTTCAGCACAACGTAATGTCCTACATTGTAGGACCGTTTACTCCCAGACTCGTTACGTGAATGGGAGGCCTAGGAGGTCATCTGGGAGGTCATCTCGTAGGGGTCCGCTGAGAACGCGAACATCCTCGCTAGTCTCTAATAACGCGATTGCACCATGTGCCCCGTTATGGAGCTTCAACATTAGGGCCGTAACGTTGAGATGGAAAAAGCGGGGATAATGATACGTCCTGTGTTGGTTCTATCCATTCAATGGGCGAAGCATAGAGCAGCAGACCCTGGAGCGAGAGAAGTAGAAGGAAAAATCCGTCGTAGTAGTGTCGGGAAGAAAAGGTACCATTACATGCGGACCATTCAAAGGACGGGCGTTTAATTCGGGTTTATCGAGATGAGAGATTGCTAAGTTAGGTACGTAGAGGTAGGTGTATGTTATGCTGATGGGACTGGTACGTTCCAGGCTCTCCAGGCTCTCCATAATGTACCTATCGGATGTCCATTCGTAGTATACA